CTTCATCGTTAGGTTTCAAAGTGGATTTTCGTGATTGTAGGTTACTTAAATTTTTTTCTTATTTTATTGTGTTTACAACCACGAAAATCCACTTTGAAACTTAGCTCTGAAGAAAATTATGAAACCTTGGCCACAAAATAACGAGAAAGTTGTGAAATTCTTACTATTATACTTTGAAATCGTAAACATAATAAAATAAGAAAATTTTTTTTACTAACCTACAACCATGAATATCCACTTTGAAACTCAGCGCCGAAGAAAGCAACGAAGCCTTAGTTGCGAAATTGTAATTGTCATGCTTTGAAATCGTAAACATAATAAAATAAGAAAAAACATTTAATAACCTACAAGCATGAATATCCACTTTGAAACCTAGCCACGAAGAAAAGTATGAAACCCTAGCCGCGAAATGAGAGAGAGCGAGTGAATATATCATTTCTGGAAATAATGAAATGAGGAGGGGGGGGGGGAGGGGGGGGGGAGTAATTAGGACTCAGGGATTTAGTCTATGTGGAAGTGGAACCTTATTGGCATGCAATATGACATCCACATGACATTTAACAACTCTTTTAATAAAAAAGGTACTTTTGATCCAATAATTTGACGGGAAGGCTAGTTTTGAGCTGAAATATACTTTAAAGGTAAATATGAGCTATTTCCGATACTTTAAGGGTAACTTTTGACCCTTTAGTCTACGTGACAGTGGAATTCTATTGACATGCAATGTGACATCTATATGACATCCATATGGCATTTAACAACTTCTGTTAATAAAAAAGGTACTTTTGACCCAATAGTATGACGGGAATGGTAATTTGAGCCGAAATAAAGTTGAAGAGTATATATAAGTTATTTTGAATAGTTTAGGGATATTTTTGAGCCTTTTTCTATATTAATTATGAAGTTAATGAATTAAAAAATTTAAGTTTTTTCAAGAAGTTCTACTTTTTTTAAAAGTAATTAATTAGGATGATGATAAGTAAAAAATTTATTCTTTTTTAATTTGTCAAAATGAACAAGTAATTGAAAGACGGCTGAAAAAATATGAAAAATAGACAAATAGTTAGGAATAGAGAGAGTATTATTATCCTCCCTATACATTGCATAACAACCGTGGACCTAGGTCAATAAGAGTGTTAATGGATGTATGGAGTCTAAATTAGAGATTGTTGAAGGGTAAACAATGTTGTTTTTGGTGAACGCGTACATGGAGAATGAGGACAAAGGAGTAAAACAACACGGTAAGAGGCCAGCTTGTCATGTTCTGTCAATCCCTTCTCTTTTCTCTCTCATGCAAAATAAAAGCAGCTTTGAGAGTCTTGACCAGACACACTAGTGTGCACCCTACACTGCATTTTGGTGCTTTGTATATTCTACCCTTTTGTTACCATCAGATCTTTTCATCCATTTCAAGCGGAATTATCCTATTCTCACAAAGGTAAATATATGTACTACTGCTACTTTCTTGGATGCTTTAGGATCTTCAATATAATAGTCCTAGAGTGTAATGTATTATTATCAGATTTACTCAAGTAGTGAATTGAACTGGTGAAGGCTATTGGATTGAAGAAGAGAATCACTTGTTTGTAAAATGGAAGATAATTTTGTGCCATTTCGTGGAATTAAAAATGACCTCAAAGGGAGATTAATGTGCTTTAAACAAGATTGGACTAGTGGTCTTACCGCAGGCTTCAGGTACAATTCTTTCTTTCTTATGCCATTATCTTAGATAGTAAGTTTCTATGGAGGGTAAATATCCTTAAACAGAGGTTTGGGATCGAGTCCCCTCAATGTGTGGTATATATTACATGAGCAGTTAGTTATTGACCAAGTTTGATTTGTGTAGGATTTTAGCTCCAACTACCTATATATTTTTTGCTTCAGCAATTCCAGTAATATCATTTGGTGAGCAGTTGGAAAGAAGTACTGGTATGTTTTCTTCTTGTTCTTTTTCTTGTAGAGAAATAAATATATATTGAGTTGATTTGACAAGTTTAGAGTTGCAGATGGATTGATAACTGCAGTTCAGACTCTTGCTTCAACTGCATTATGTGGGATTATGCACTCTATCATTGGAGGCCAACCTCTGTTGATTCTTGGAGTTGCAGAACCAACTGTGCTGATGTACACATTCATGTACAATTTCGCAAAAGATAGACCTGAACTCGGACCAAAGCTCTTTTTAGCTTGGACAGCATGGTATTGTACAATTTCCTTTTTCAACTATCCACCAAATACCATATTCCATTTCCTTTTTTCATTGTAAATTTCCATCATCAGGGTGTGTATTTGGACTGCAATTTTGCTTTTCCTTCTGGCTGTCCTGGGAGCTTGTTCCATTATCAATAGGTTTACACGTATTGCTGGGGAACTCTTTGGCCTTCTAATTGCAATGCTTTTCATGCAGCAAGCAATCAAAGTAAGAAAAACATATATAGTTAGTTAGTTCATTTGTAAGGTTGTTGAAAAACCATACTTAGTTGCACAAGGTTTAGATAATACAGTATGATGGAATTTTGTTAGTATTTTGAGTTGTCGTGGATTGTAGGGACTGGTATATGAATTTCGTGTACCAGAGAGAGAAAATCCAAATCTCCCTGAGTTCCAACCTTCATGGAGGTTTGCAAATGGCATGTTTGCATTGGTCTTGTCATTTGGTCTTCTACTCACAGCTCTAAGGAGTCGAAAGGCAAGATCTTGGCGATATGGCTCTGGTGAGTTCTTTTGTAAAACTAACTACTATAGCTTTCATTTAAATAGGACAAGATTGAAATGTTCATTTAGTTCTAGACATGATGTTGAACTATTTGTCCCTCTTCCAGGCTGGCTTCGGGGTTTCACAGCAGATTACGGAGTGCCACTCATGGTTTTAATCTGGACAGCGGTCTCTTACATTCCTGGTAAAAATGTTCCAACCGGGATTCCAAGACGACTTTTCAGTCCAAATCCATGGTCACCTGGTGCCTATGAGAATTGGACAGTGATAAAGGCATGCCTACCATTTTAAATTTTTCTGTATCTAGCAAACTTATCTTCCATCTCTTGACAATTTATTTACTCTTCAAATTTGTAGGATATGCTAGACGTCCCAGTACTTCACATAATTGGTGCTTTTATTCCAGCAACAATGGTAGCGGTCCTGTATTATTTTGATCACAGTGTGGCATCTCAACTTGCTCAGCAAAAAGAGTTTAACCTTAGAAAGCCATCTTCCTACCATTATGATCTGCTGTTACTGGGATTTATGGTGTGCAGTTAAATTCTCCCTACCATCAATTGGCCTTTTACTTCACTGAATGTCAACAAGTTATATGATCTATTGCTTTTGTTATGCCAGGTTCTCATTTGTGGTCTTCTAGGAATTCCCCCGGCAAATGGAGTCATTCCACAATCTCCAATGCATACAAAGAGTTTGGCCACACTGAAGCATCAGGTATGCCCATTTGATGAGAGCAAGTTGCGTGTCAAAATCATCAGGTGCTTGAACATATATGAGGGAAAGAGAACCAGCTATCCTTTGACTTACCTTCTTTGTTATGCAGTTGCTTCGTAATCGATTAGTTGCAAAAGCACGGAAATGTATGACTGAGAATGGGAATTTGGCTGAAGTGTATGAAAGTATGCAAGAAGCCTATCAACAGATGCAGAGTCCACTGATTCACCAAGAACCATCATCTCGGGTATGATCTAGTCTTTTCACATCTTTCATTAAACACAACTGTTTTCCTTTCCTAGATCTTGCAAATTGTAGGACTATCCATTAATATCTAATTCATGAACAGGGGTTAAAAGAGTTAAAAGAGTCTACCATTGAATTGGCTTCAAGAATAGGCAACAGGGATGAACCTGTTGATGAGACAATCTTTGATGTTGAGAAGGACATAGATGACTTGTTGCCCGTTGAAGTGAAGGAGCAGAGGTTGAGCAACTTGCTTCAGTCCGCCATGGTGGGAGGATGTGTGGCCGCCATGCCTCTTCTCAAAATGATTCCGACATCAGTCCTTTGGGGATACTTTGGCTTTATGGCCATTGAAAGCTTACCAGGAAATCAGTTCTGGGAACGGATCCTATTACTATTCACAGCTCCTAGCCGAAGATACAAGTAACTCCTGCTATCATCCTTCTAGACTTGCTTTCCGGCTGTGCTTCACTTTGTATTTGACAGTAAACGAAAATGCACACATTATTATTGTGATCTCATGAACATTTTGTTTTCTTTTGACAGAGTAATTGAAGAGTGTCATGCTGTGTTCATTGAAACTGTACCTTACAAGACAATAGCGTTCTTCACCATTTTCCAGAGCATCTACTTACTGATCTGTTTTGGGATAACATGGGTTCCCATTGCTGGCGTTCTCTTCCCACTTATGATCATGCTTTTAGTTCCAGTCAGACAGTACCTACTACCTAGGTTCTTCAAAGGAGCACATCTTCAGGAATTAGATGCTGCTGAGTATGAAGAAGCACCACCGTTATCATCATGCAGCATGGCTAGAGTAAGCTTCACCCATTTTCCATCTGCATTTATGTATCTTTCAACAGAAGTTAAAATAAAAAATGTATAAATCATTTATATACTCTTTGTGCGACAAATTTTGATGCCATAAAATGTCTCTATGAAGTGATTAGTACTAAGTCAGTATCTTCATAACATTTTAGCAGGAAAATGAAGGTTCATTTGGAGGAGATGATGGGGAGATTATGGATGGCATGATGACAAGAAGTCGAGGTGAGATTCGACGTATGTGCAGTTCAAAGGTAACAAGCTGCAATGCGACACCAACCAGAGATTCTGTTAGCATCCAAAGCCCAAGGCTTTCTAACAAGGTATACAGTCCTCGTGTTAGTGAAATAAAAGGGGAAAGTCCTTCTCTTGGTCGAGGAGGATCCTTCGGTTCCAGAACTGGGGAAGCAAGACGATCAAATCTGTCAAAAACTCATAGTTTCAACTAAAACTAGCACCGAGTATAAAAATAACCAAATATTGTTTCATAGACGCATTTAGTTTAGACCGTTATTTTTGTACAATTTTTTCATCATCTGATTGATCAAAGGAATGAAGCATTATTTTATACCATGTTGGCATTTTAGGTGGCTCTTTTGCTTATAGAGAATATGAAGCATGAAGTACTACTATCGATATAAGAAATTGTGTGCGCCAGACAATGATAACTTTGCCTGAGAAATTTCACCATTTCTGAAAGTTGTCAATATATGATTCAGTTTCAGAATTTAACTACTTTGCAAAGAAAAAACTATTCACCACTAAAATACTTCATAAATTTAGACACAGCATCTGTATCACTACGGTATGGAAAAGTAATATAAATGAAACTTCTGGCTGCGGCCAAATGTTTAAAACCAAACCCTGTACAATGTTTAGTACTGATCGAGAACTTTTAGTACATCCTAAACCAAGATTGGGACTGGTATCTTGGAATTCCTTGTAGCAGTTTGCTAACAGACAAATTCAATAATTCTGGCTGAATTTCCGGCCAGTCATCTTTTCAGATTCATGCAACATGTAATTTATTAGCCCCCTTGCAGCACTGCAACACCAAAGAAAAGCAATCATCAGAAAAACTATTTTTTTTAAAGAGACTACAATGAGAATGAATTTATTTTTCAGAAAGTATGTATAATATCAAGTAGGTAGAATCAGGATGCAGTGAAGTATATCAAAAGTTTAGAAGGAATAGTAGGTCAAAGAACTTATTTAGTTGTCCTACAAGTAACTTTCAACTGCAAGAGGAGTATCAAACAACCATATTGGATGAGATAGAAATTTATAGAAGAATCATTCAATCAGTAGGTGGTTCATGAAGTGAATATCCAAGTTAATGTCACTACAAAATACACATCAGTTTGGAAGACATGTGTTTTATTGAAAAACAAAAAAGCAAAAAAAAAAAAAAAAAGGGAATAAACTTTGTCATCCTTCAATTTCTGAATTTCAGCCGGATCAGTCTCATGCATTTGCTTTTTGAACTGCTGTCTCACCCATACCAACAAGAAGCTCTGTGTTATTTTGCTGCAAATCAAAGACAGGCAAACTTATATAAGTAGCTTGTTCTCAAAAGACAATAGGAAAATGGAGTTTATTTGTATCTTTTTTTGTTCTTGGAACAACTCTTAGTTCCAACAAGTCAAATATTATTTGAAAAGAAAAAGGAAGCACAACTCTGGATTTGGCTTAACCATCACAGCTATGGAATCACAGTAGGCAAGCAAAATGACAGTTCCGTGCCATAGACGAAAAAGTCTAGCTCTTGTGCAAGTGTTTCAATTGATTCCAAGATTTTTTACGTAATATGTTTTCCTCATGCCCGAAATCCGAGTTAAAAGTTCAGCATCTAATGTTAGGTGAAGCAGCTCTTTAACAGGTGGAAAAGACAAATTTATGACAAATGTTCCTTAATTTTTTTGGGGAGCAGATCTGGGAAATTGTTAGGCACTTCTCAAAAGTCGAAGGAAGTTATTTACAAAAGGAGATAAAAACTACAAATCTTCAGAGAGATGGCATGAGCCCAATGCAACATCTTTATTACTGATGCATGTAAAATCGAGCAGCAATCCATGAAAGACAAAAATGAGCTAATCTTTCTTTCTGTCATTTTGGGGTGAAGCCCGAGTCCGACAAGTATTGAATAAATGACACGAATAATGATTTCTCATCCCCTGTCTAATCCAGAATAACTAGATCTGCCTTCCCTCTAGATGTGAAGAAAAATAAGGAAAATCGACCTTGTGAAAATAAATTAAAGTAAGGGAAATGTTACATGAAAAAGAGATCTTCATATATTAGTTAGTGATGGAAGTAGTTACAGTTAGTTAGGCACAGAACTCGAAATAACAAAGTTAGTTAGAATTGAATCCATTTCAGTTGTATTTCAATTCTATATAAAATGTAATACAGTTCCATACAAGATAGGAAATACACATATTCACTTTCTCTCTTCTTCTCTCTATTTCTCTCTTCTTCTATTCATCTCCAATGATTGAATCCTTGAGTTCTCTCCTGGACTATATTTCGATCCTCGAATCTTTAAGATTCCTGCAATCGAACCACTATCCAGTAACATTTGTATCAGAGCTTAACGTTCCTTGGCAACGATGGCGAGGAAGTCGACCAGTTGGGGAAACAAATAATGACAATTCTGTAGCAGAAATTGGGGATTTACGGGATATGATGCAAAATCTGGTAACAGAGATGGGGAATTTAGGTGGTAAGATCTCATCTTTAGAGAAATTAGATAATGCAATGATGGAACTGAGAAATCAGATTTCAGCAGAAAATTGCAGGGGTACTGTTCCATTGGTACAGGAGGGTGTTTCTGATGGAAATGGTGGTTTAGGCGTTCCTAGGGAAAGGGAAAGAAGTCCTCGAACATGTAATAATTCCTAATATCACAAATCAAACTTTAATAGGTGGTCATGAATGGAGTTTTTAAGGTTTTGGGAGGAAGATTTTGGGTCATGGTTGTTCAAAATCGATCAATTCTTTTCCATGGAGAATGTTGGTCATGACGAGAAAGTTACAGTTGCAGCTCTGTATTTAGAAGGGAACGCCATCCAATGACATTTGTCATTCATGCGATATAGACCATACTTACATCCACCCAATTGGGATGACTATGTGATGACATTGGTTGAAAGATTCGGTACTGATTTTGATGATCCCATGGAGGAAATAAAAAAGATCAAGCAAGTTGGCAGTGTAAAGGATTATTAGTCAGTGTTTGAGAGAAACTTGAATTGGTCACAAGAGAATGCTATTAGTTGTTTTATTGGGGGGTCTGGAACCTGAGCTGAACATTGTTGTGAAGATCACCAATCCTACTTCATTATCTCAGGTGTACAGGAGTGCAAGAATGCAGGAAGCATATCTGCAGGCGGTGAAACAACCTGATTATAATCATACAAGGAAGTTCTTGACCAAAAGAATTTTACTAGTAAGCCTATTTTACCTACTCTAGGTAGCAATAATTCCATCTTTTCTAAATGAGTCGGTTGAAGAACTTTGAGCTTAGAGGAGATGAATGAAAAAAGGGCAAAATAGTTGTGTTATTTTTGCTCTGAAAAATACACGCCAGGACACAAGTGTAAAACTTCTAAACAATTATGTTTGTTGGAAGTGGATGAAGGGGATGAGTTGCAAGATTCAATAGAGGATCAAAGGAATATCTCAAAATAATCGCAGAGTACTATGTTAGATTTGGGGCAACCTGTGGAGCACATGGAGATCTCTATACATGCTTTAAATGGGTCGTTGGGTTTTAGGACATTGTAAGTAACTGGGTACCATTCTAAAATGACATTACATATCCTCATTGACACTGGTAGCTATCATATTTCATAGATTCTGATTTAGTCAAGAAGTTAGGGTGTGAGGTAAAGTCCATTAACACAGAGTTGGTTGCTGCAGCTAAAGAAAGTATGAAGGTGGACAAAATGACTACTATCACTTGGTTGCTACAGGAGCCGAGTTAGTCTGACTTTCTACTACTTCCACTAGGTTCATGTGGGGTTGCGTTGGGGGTTCAGTGGTTGTTAACATTAGGTGATATCAGGATGAACTTCAGGAGTTTAACAATGGAGTTTTGGTACAAGGGTAGAAAGCATTTACTCCGGCGTTCTGGCAGTCAAATATTAACTTCTAGTGCTGGAAGATTGTCAAAACACTCAGGAAATCAATTTCAACTTTGCATGATTCAGGTAGTCCCTCAAGGGAGTGATGAAATGCAGGGGCATTTATTGGAAAATGACAAACAGGCTAAGGAAAATTTTGCATTATTGGAGGTATTATCAGAATTTTCTGCTCTATTTGATAATCCTGTTGGTTTAACACCTTCTAGAGGCTTATTTGATCATAGAAACGTACTATAATCTGGTGTAGAGCCTGTGAACAAGAGACCCTATATATATCCTTCTGTAAGAAAAGATGCTATTGAGGGTCTAGTACAACAAATATTGGATCAATGGATTATACAACCTAGTGCAGTCCTTTTGCGTCTCCAGTTGTGTTAGTTGGCAAAAAGGATGGGTCATGGAGGTTATGTGTAGATTATAGGTACTTGAATAAGTCTACTATCAAGAACAAGTTCCGATTCCTATAGTGGAGGACTTATTGGATGAATTGAGGGAGGGGAGGGGGGTCCAAGATATTCTCTAAAATAGACTTAAGGTCTGAATATCATCAACTACGAATGGCTAATGAGGATGTGCCTAAAACTGCTTTCAGAACTCACTCTGGGCATTTTGAGTACTTGGTTATGTCCTTTGGATTGTCAAATGCTCCAGCCACATTTTAAGGATTAATGAATTTTGTATTCCAGCAATTTCTACGGAAATATGTATTGGTATTCTTTGATGATATATTGATCTTATAGTAAGACCATAGAAGATCATGTATTGCATTTGAGGTCTGTCTTTTTGAAGATGGTGGAGCACCAGTTATTTACTAGAAAAAGTAAATGTTTCTTTGGTGTTCAAAGGATTGAATACCTAGGTCACTTTACCGGGGTGTGTCTACTGATCCTTAAAAGATCAAGGTAGTTAAAGTTTGGCCTGTCCCAACGACTCTTAAGAAGCTGAGAGGGTTCTTATGCTTAACTGGTTATTAAAGAAGGTCCATCCAAGGGTTTGGGATGATTAGTAGACCTCTGAATGATCTTACAAAGAAGGATAAATTCAAATGGAATCCACGGCTCAACAAGACTTTGTACAATTAAAAGAGGCACTTACTCAAGCACCTGTCTTGGCTTTGCCTGATGCAAGCAAAACTTTTATTGTTGAAACAGATTCTAGTGGCTATGGGATAGGGGCGATGCTTATGCAGGAAGGGCATCCGATAGCTTTTACTAGTAAAGCTTTGTCTCCCCGACATGCTGCCTTGTCAGTGTATGATAGGGAGTTATTGGCAATTGTTCATGCTGTTACTAAGTGGTCTCAATACTTACTAGGTCAGAGGTTTGTTATTAAGACTGATCAGAAAGCCTTAAAGTTTCTTATGGAGCAAAAGTTGCATACTAATTCTCAATTGTTGTGGTTAACTAAGCTTATACCATTTGATTACTCAATTGAGTACAAAAGGGGCATTGAGAACAAAGTAGCTGATGCACTTTATAGAGTGACTGGAGCTGAATTGCTGGCTTTGATAATTTCACCTACTAATATTGATCTTTATCAAGCTATAGTGGCGAATTGGCATTCAGATCAGGAGTTGCATCAGTTAATCAGCGAGCTACAGGCGGATCCTAATTCCCACAACCAATTTACTTGGTTACAGGGTCAGTTGAGAAGGAAAGGAAAGCTGGTGATTGGAAATATACAGAGCTTGAGGACTGACACTATTATGTTGTGGCATGCTAGCCCTTTTGGTGGTCATTCAGGAGTTGAAGCTACATTCAAGAGATTGTTGACACTATTTTATTGGAAGAACATAAGGACGGAGGTAAAAAATTCATTAAAAAATGTGATGTATGTCAAAAGAATAAGTCTGATTTGGCTGCATACACTGGTTTGTTACAACCCTTGCCAATTCCTGAGTCGTTTGGTCTCAGATCAGTGTGGATTTCATTGATAGTCTTCCTAAATCTAAAGGGCATGAGATTATTTTGGTGGTGGTTGATAGACTCAGCAAATATGTTCATTTTTTTCCCTTGAAACACCCTTATACAGCTCAATCGATTGCTCAAGTTTTCTTGGATACTATTGTCCGACTCCATGGTTTTCCAGATGCTATTACTAGTGATAGAGATGTTGTTTTTTGAGCTCCTTCTAGCAAGAGCTCTTCGCTCTGCAGGGTGTATTGTTGAATACCTCTACGACTTATCATCCCCAGTCTGATGGACAAGCTGAGGTGTTAAACAGATGCTTGGAAACCTATTTACATTGCTACTGTAATGATGATGCTACGAATTGGTTAGCTTGTTTACCTATGGCTGAGTGTTGGTATAATACTTGTTTTCACTCATCCATTCAAACAACCCCTAATGAGGCTTTGCATGGTCGATCCCCACCCCTCCGTCTTCCTTATCTACCAAGTGAGTCAGCCTCTGTTGAAGTTGACGCTACACTGGTGAATTGAGAGCTCAAGTTGCAGCTACTGAAACATCACTTGCTCAAAGATCAAATTAGGATGAAGCAACATGCAGACTCTTATAGGAGTGATAGACAATTTTCTGTTCGAGATTGGGTTTATTTTAAAGTGAAGCCTTATAAACAAGCTACCATATCTCAACACTCTTACCACAAGCTAGCTGCTAAGTATTATGGCCCATTTTAGATCATCAAAAGAGTTGGTTCAATGGCTTACACCTTGGTATTGCCTAGTTTAGTAAAGATACACCCTACTGTGCATGTGTCATTATTAAAGAGGTGTTATGACGTTCCTTCCTCCATTTCTTGTCCTCCTACGGTTGATTTGGCTAATACAAATAGTCCTGGTCCTGAATCTGTTTTTCAAAGAAGAATGGTTCAGAAAGGCAACAAAGTTGTTGCTCAGGTGTTGGTTAAATGGGTTGGATTGCCTGCAGATGTTGCTACTGTTGCGGAAGTGGAATATATATAGAGAGATGAAATCACAACTACTATATCTAAAGGTAGCTAATAAATAGTAAATGAGATAACAACAAAAAGAACACCAAAAATTAACGAGGTTCGGCAAACTTTTGTTTTCTTTTGCCTACTCCTCGGACACAAACAACCAATATTTATTTCACTCCAAAAGAGTACAAGTGAAATAATACAAGAGAGAAAGAAGAACAAATGCCTTAGGAGATGAGAAGGCAAGTGAGATGTATGTTACAAATGAATTAGGAGCACCTATTTATAGTAGTGAATTCTTTCTATTGATGTCATCCATGACATCACAATATGTCAAAATGTCAACATTTACCTTGTGAAATCAATTTATAATTCACCTAAATTTCACCTACAAAAGTTGCTATCGACTTTTCTACCAATGAA